CAAAAAAAGCAGTAGCTATTATTAATTTCCTGCCACCATCCATTACACCATAATTTCCAAAGCAACTACATAGAAATACCATCTGGGATCAAATAGAGGCAAGAGCACCTCCAAGTTCCATCCAAATTTTCCTTGCTTCACGAAGAGTGGCCAATGCTCTAACCTTAGCTTCTTCAAATTTGGGAAATTCATCAACTCATTTTTCCCATTCCTTCTTTAAAGGTTCAGATGCATTTACAAGGGCACTAGCTGTTTGGTCCAACTCAAATTCTTCACGTTCCACTTGTTCCAACTCTCTTTGAATCTTGGCCAGTTCTTCATTCAAGCTTTCTTTCTTGGCCATAAGCTTTTCAGCTTGTTCTTTGATTTCTGGGTAGGGTTCTAATAAGAGTTGGAAATCTTCGAGAGCTTTATCTTTGAACTTGGCTTCCTTATCACATTCAGAAATTGCGGAAGTACTAGAGCTTACATGGGTGACGATGAATTGGAGTTGGTGTTGCAGTTTGGTTAAAGAAGCTTGGATGGATTCCGGAAATTCAGGGTGTTACTTGAGGGTTACTATAGTACTAGCCAAACTTTGGTGAAAAGATAACACATCTTCTACATCATGGGCAAGGTAAGACAATAATTTTCCTTTGGCCACAGTTATAGCATCATCTGAGGTTCATGGAAGCATGAGAACACTGGCGCTTGAGGTGGAAGTACTGGAAGATTTGGCGGCCTTAATCACTTTATAAAGATCGGCCAAAGCCGGAAGAGCTCTTCTTTGCACTATAAAGGAAGTTGAGGTAGACATAGAAGGAGTGGCCTGAAATGAGAGCAACTTTGTATTAGATATAAAGAAAGAAAGGAGGCAAAGTTTAAAAGTATGGAAGTTTGCCTCTGGAATGGAAGGAACTGGGCCTATAGAAGTTCTACCAGTTCTGGAAGGGATAGATACTCCAGTCGTAGAAGTTGGAATGGGCAGACTTTCTTCTTTTTTGCTGGTCAAACTTTCTATAATTGAAGCTTGAAGGGCTAAATCCTCTCATTGGGCAATTTGTTGGTCTAAATGGATATTCATGAAGTTGTGTCCCATGGAAGAGCCCTGTTAGTTAAAGTTAGAGGAAATTTACAAACATTTTTTTAGCAACGAAGTTGGAAAGAAGAGGGAATAGAGACTTACCAAAACAATTTCTTTATTTGGTTTTGGTTTTTTATACATTGGAGAGTCTCTAGGCTGTTGGAATTCTTCTATTTTTTCTAGATCAGTCATGATTTTTCTCTTTCCTTTTCCAACAATCTTTCCAGAAGGGCTGCGCATTTTAAGGGCTTTGCTAGAATGTTGAGTAGCGGTTTGACGCTTGGAAATACCAACTTCTTCATCAGAGGAATCTTCATTGAAAGAGGAGAATTGGGGTTGAAATTATTTTTTGACAATAGCTAGTCCCTGCAAGAGGAAATGTAAGTAAGGCACAAGAATCTAGATAAACTAAGTGCATTCACATTGAAATACCTGAGGAGTCTTTCCTTTTCCTTTTGCTTTGTACAAAGCATCTTCCTCTTCTTCCTGTATTTCCTCTTCAACTTCTTCTTCTTCCTCTTCGTCATCGCTTGAGGAAAGACTTTTAATACTTACGTCACCACTTTCGGCTATACCCTCAATCTTTCCAGTCACTATAGTAGCTTTCTCTCCACCTTCATCCTCCTCACTTTCTTCGAGTACTTCCTCTTCTCCATCTGAAATTTACCAAGTCTCAGTATATGGAAGATTGATGGATTTCATAAGGAAAGATAAAAAATGGAGTTTACAGTGAATACATTTATACCTGGAGATAAAGGTTTGAAAGAAGCTAGTATGGAATCACAGACATTTTTATGATTCTTTGTCCGGGTGGAAGAAACCATATATCGAATTCATTGGTGGATTGAGGCTTGCTGGTATTGTGACGGCCCAAGTTTTTCAACCCGGTACGCCAGTGATGAACCGGAAGATAACCCGATAATGGATCCGAAATGCGGAAGCAAAAGACAAAACAACGGTCTTTAGAGATACAATATGGCTCTAAGACACCATTATGACCCTCAACGAGGTCACGGAACCCAAAGGAATCAAATGGGGAAGCAACGTTTCAAAAATGAACAAGAATGAACCTAGGGGCAAAATTGTCATTTCCAACTTAAAAGTGGATGCCACCGAGCACACCATTGGAAAGACAACGAAAAATCAATGAACTTAAACTAAAAAATCGCTTGATTTGGAGTTCGGATGAAGAAGAAATGGCTAACGGAAGAAGAAGGGGCAAAACGGTCCAAAAGAGGCAACCCATGAACATCTAACCGGTTAGAAGGCCAAAAAAAGTGACAAAAATGCTGCGCACACTCATCTAACCGGTTATGAAACCCCTCGTAACCATTTAGATGTGAAGGGGCAGTAAGGGTGCGACCCAAAAACCTGGCAGCAGGGGTTTTTCCGGGAAAAATGAAAATTTGAGGGCCAAAATGACATTTTCTGGAAAAACTCAAAGAAGAAACCCCCCTCAAAATCGAGTTTTCTACAAGACAGTAAAGAAAAATCGAAAAATACGCAATGTGAAATGCCCAAAATACCCTCCCAAGAAAACTAGTCCAGAGGGTCTAAAAAGCTGCTAAATTTAAAAACTGAGAGCTGAACTTCGGATGCGATTTCTGATGCCAAGATGGCATTTTCCGGAAAAACACAAAAAAGAAACCCCCCCTAAAATCATATTTTATATTCAACCATGTGAAGAACAGAATTTATTTCCCAAAGGAAATTCCCAAAATATCCTTAGGTCAAAAAATGCAATAAAAGTGTAAAATGAGTTCGTAGAAGGCTCATTTCACCAAAGAAAAAGCTTTGTCCGGAAACGACCATGCACACAAACAAGGCATGCATATAGGTTGTATAAATATGGAAAACACACAATACAACACATATAAAATCCTAAAACATTCCCTACCTCCATTTAAGATGAAATCTCAAATCCCCACCAAAATAAATCGGCTCCGAATCCGATGAAACTCCTAAGTTTTGTCAGGGACAACACCACGAACATGAATCCCAAGGAAGCCCCATCAAAAACACAACTTGACTTCAAACCCGAACTCAAGAAATGGCCAAAACGAGATTCCAATTGGTTGGAATCGAAGGCCTCGCCGAGGGGAACAATAAACACAAAGGCATCACCACTTTTTAATGAAGGGAAGAAGTTCAAAAGAGGAGAGAGAAGATGGCAGCCATGGATGGAGCTTGGACCGGCCATGAGAGAGGAGAGAGAGAGAAAAATCTGATTTTTCTTTCTAAGACCTCCTATTTATAGAAAAACTCAAAAAGTGCCCCGAACGGGCCCCGCCGAGTCCGGAAAAGTGAAATTCACGCAGACGCCCTCAAATGGCAAAACTCTATGAACAAAAAAGATTCCAAATGAGAAAATATGAACAACGGAAGAAACGGCGTCGAAAATCGAGTCCCGAACAGAGAGTTATGCCCAAAACAAGTTTGGCGCAAATCGGGGCCAAAAATCCTGAAACTAGAAAACATCGTCCATAAGGAAATTCTAAGAGTTCACGAATCGACGAAATATGAAAATGAATCCCATACGAGGATCCAGGCTCAAAACAAGGCATTGAGCAATAACTTTCATTAATTGCAACATGAGCACTCCAAAAAGTGAAAACTGCGAAATTGCCCCAGAATGAAAAAATCTTCCAAAAGATATTTTCTTAGATAACCCTGAAATAAAATATCTTCAAAAGATATTAATGAAAAACACCCCAAGAAAAGCAAAAGTTTTCAAAGAACTTTGCATTTTTGCCCCTATGGACACCGGGAGCAACCAAAGTACTTTCACACGAAAGTAACGATACGTATCTCATAGAAATAATTGGAATAAAGATACGTGAAGTCAGAAACCAACTCCGAACACAAGAAGTGTGGTTACGCAAACAAAGTGCCAAACGAGGAAAAGACGAAATAGGGAAAAAGACGGAATAGGGAAAAGGACAAAAAGTGAAAAGTGTCAAAAAACGAAAAATGTGGAAATGACTCGGTCCTCAAAGGAAGTTGTCAATCCAAAGAATTGAGTCTCGAAAATCACTCCAGAGCACTCGAGACGACACTAATCGACAAGAAACCAAACTCAGAAGGGAAAAGACAATGAAAAAAATTTATTCAAAAAATCCGGGTCATTACAGGTATGGCCTTGGAAGTTAAAAGTAGCTCTTTCTGCTGCATAAGCTTGATCAATTACTGCGAATTGCTCAACATCTGTGAGACGAACACGTTGGTCAAAGAATCTGTTATAAGATTTGTAAGGCGGTAAAGGAATCATTTGGGAAAAACCCATTTGCCTTGCCAGCTGGGCTGGATTATAGAACTTAACACCGCAGAAGCTATTCTTTAGAGTAGGTTGGGCAGTGCTATAATGGAGGTCACGAGCAAGAAGGAAATTAGCCCAAATATTATTACAATCTTTAGAATGTTTTTTTGTAGACACTCCAGGAGATGGAACCAACCATGATGGCACACTACAAGAAAAAGGGTTATTAGTGACAGACCTTTAGGGACAGTACAAAAAACTGTCCCTAAAGACCCTATTTTTAGGGACGGACTTTAATTACTGTAACTAAAGACACACTTTTTGGTGACAGTCCCACCTGTCCGTCCCTAAAAGACCAAAAAAAATAAAAAAAATCCCTCCAATCTGGTGGCGGCAAAACTTAGCGTCATTTTTAGTGAATTTATAATTTTTTTTAATAAAAAAATTATCAAAATAGCTTTTTGGGACGGTAAAGTTACCGTCCCTAAAAGGCCATTACAACATTAGTGACAGTCCTTTAGCGACAGTCCAAAAAACCGTCCCTAAAGACCCTTCTTTTGGTGACAGTACACGTAGATGCTCGCTCCAAATTTTTTTGGGGGAAAGTTTAGCGCCCTTCCTTTGACGATATGCGTGTCAAAATATATATATATATTTTTACTTTTTTGGGAAAAGAAAAAATAATGGTCAGACGTTGTCATTTTGGCTTATTTGTATACTTTTACTCAATTCCCAATCTCAGTCTTCTCTCTAGAACATCCCACAAATGCCTCTCTCTCGGTACAATCACTCTGTCCTCCACCGGAGGCCTCTCTCTCTACCAGCACTCTTCTAGTACGTTTTCCCTCATAGTCCGTAGGACACGTCCCTTTCTCTCTCTAATCACTCTTCCCTCAAGCTCAACAGATCGTCCGGGTTTGTGTCCTTCTTCACTTACTGATTGAGTTTTTATTATTATTTTTTATTTTTTTATTTCTTTTTGTTCACGCACATAGAATTTTTTTTCTTTTTGTTTCTCTTTTTTTACAGTTTGATCATATGCATCAGATCTGTTTTCTTTTAGGGTAAACTTTGGCGGATGAAGCTTGGGAGAAAATACAATTAAAGTTGCTCTCAGTTTCTTTCATATTCCATTTTGGTAATCAAAATTTTTCGCAGTCTTTTTTTTTTTTTGCTTTATTATTATTTTTTGTACTTCGCTTAATATTATTTTTATATTCTTTAGATTTTTGTTATTTTGTTTATTTTAGAGTAATTTGAATAAAAGAAAATGTCAGGACTGGTCAACAAGTTTATCTTTGCTATTACTTCAGGATTAATTAATTAATTAATATCACATCATCGTTCTTGAATTAAAGGTTGGGAAGTTAATAGCTTGTGATTTTTTTCATCTAATTCATTTATTGTTATTTCATCACCTTTTTTTTTTTTTTTTTGTTGATTGTGAAAGGTGAATATATATAATTTAAGGGCTTAAATATATTTTTGAATTTGAAATGTTCAAAGAAGAAATTCAGAGCCATTTGGTACTGGTAACCTTTGAAAAATGAACTAAAAATTTAGGGGTTAAAAGAACAGAGTTAACAAAAGTAAATCAATGTATTATGTAGCTCTTAAATGAATACTAACATGTCCTATTCCACTGATTTTCACTTGATAATAGAAAAGTAAGATGGTATAAAACAAAACAGTTTTTAATCTAGACTTCTATGGGTCTGTTGTCATTTTTCTCTATGGAACGACAAGCTTATAGAAGGAATAACAATTTTCTTGTTAATTTATGGTGGAATAAAATGCCAAACCAGATACATTACATATTACCATCAAGTTTTCCAAACTCTGCCTCTTTATGTGTGTGTATGCACACATCATGACAGCATTTTGATTCTGATACATTCATTTTGTTACATGGTTTACTTGCTTGATTATTTTAATCTATTACTTTATGAATCCCTCAATGCCCTCATCTTTTCTTGTTAATTACGCATTTAAGTGCTACTCAATCTCAATTCTCAAATTGTTGTAAGTACACTCATTCATATAGTGACCTTACTCGCAACTACCTTAACGGTACTATTCCTCCAGAATGGGGTTCCATATAACTAGTGAATATATATGTTATACACAAACACACACATCCATATTGAAACTTCTCTTGTTCTAACAAATATATGACATGATGGTTTTGTTGCAGCTCTCTCCTTGGAAATCGATTAACAGGTTCAATCCCAAAGAATTTAGAAACATAACCAGACTCAAAAGCTTGTAAGATTTGGATAACCAATTTCTTTCACATTTAGGTACATGTGATATAAAATTATGCTTTTATGATTTTAATTTTGGTGTTTTTAGAGTCCTCGGGGACAATCAGCTTTCTGGAGGTATTCCTCTAGAGCTTGGGAATCTTCCCAGGTTGGAGAAAATGTAAGATCCTTTTATCTGTTTTTTGATTTTATGGTGTTAGTTTTGTCTGTGTACTTTATGAATGTGTAATTTTTTTTTTTCAAAAAAAAATTGGTAATACGTCTGAGCGTTCAATTTGAAATTTGAGGTCAATTGACCATTGGCTTAATTAATTTTTGTTTTTGAAGACTTCTAAGCTCAAATTATTTTACTAGGGAGTTGTCGGGAACACTTGCAAATCTGACCACTTTGAAGGACTTGTAAGTGTCTAAAGTTAGTTTATTTTTTGTTTTTCTAAATACTTATTTATTTCCTATTTTTAGAATTAATTGTTGTTGTTGTTGTTGTTTTTTTTTTTTTTTTTTTAACACACATTGCAGTAGGATTAGCAACAACTTTAAAGGAAAGATACCCAATTTCATCCAAAACTGGACAAAACTCCAAAACTTGTAAGATTTTTACTTTACTTGTTTTGATATTTCAATTTTTCTTTGGAAGATGTTCTCTGTTTAACCATTCATTTAAACAAAATTATGACAGGATGATTTAGGCTAGTGGTTTGGATGGGCCAATTCCTTCTGGAATTTCTCTCTTGGAAAATTTGTCTGACTTGTTAGTAAATTCTTATAATCTCATAGCTTTACCCTTTTATATAAGAAAATATCTAATTTATGTTTATTCTTTGATAAATAAAAACAAATGCAGGAGATTCAGTGACTTGAGTGGAAGTGAAACAACTTTTCCACCTCTTAGTAATATGAAAAACCTGAAGACACTGTACGTAGAAAACTTCATTATTCTCTTATGGAATATATTAATATCTTCTTGGTGTTTTGGAATGATATATATTTAAATATATTTGATTGCATCGCAGGATATTAAGGAGTTGCAATATTATGGGACAGATACCTGATTATCTTGGAACAATGACAAATTTGAAAACCTTATTAGTTCTTTTCCATTCTCCATTTTCATGTCTCTCATTTTCTTAAAAAGCGTTTTGATCACATACTTATCTCTTGTTTAATAGCTCAAAAGCTGACTAAAACTGTAGTAGAATTTAAATATATATTCTCTATATTTTTGTTGTCTTCCTTGTGTTATTGAACATATAGGCACCTTTAAAACAATTCAGTGATGTTATATAGTATTATTAAATGAAATGTTTCCTATTATATATGTGCTTTAGTTTGATGAACTTTTGGCACAATAAAAAATAATATGGCAAGTGGACTTGTGTATTTATTAAATAAGTTTAAGTTTACTCAACTATCTTTATTCTTTAATTTTACATATTTAAGTAAAACTCTTAGTACTTCTTTCCAGAAAAAGAGTTGTTTGTACTTTCGTCTACTTGACAATTGCTTCAATATTAGACAATACAAAGTTATCTTGGAGCCTTCATTTATATTTTTCTTTGTTGGTCCCTTCGGCTCTTAATGTTTAAGTTTTGTTTATATTTCACTTAAATTTGATCTTGTTCCATGTTTTTTTAAAAAAAAATTGGATCAAAATTTATTGCTTCGATGAGTCACATTATTGGCAATTTTTGGAGTACCAGCATTTCTACAATTTACCTTGTGAAATTTTTTATATAATCCAGATGTTTGATTCATCTTTATGTGTATCTTATCTTTCTTCTCAATGAGACCAGATTTATATAGCATCATTCTCCATTGGAATGGTAGTAGTTCCTCATTTTTAAGTACTTCTCATTAGAATGGTAGCAGTTGCTCATTTTAAAGTAATTCTTTGTACCCTTTGACTATGGATCTAACAATGTCTACTTTCTCTCTCTACACAACTATTCAATTTGTAATGAGACTATATTGGTCTTTGCTCGTCAAGCACCAAAGCACAAGGACAAGGACAGATGTTTTTATTCCTCAAGTGAATGAGATTGCTTATTGAAAGAGACAAAGTGGATTTTGAGGCAAGATCCCTATGTTTGCATATATTTCTTCTCTCCCCCTTTTTCTCTCTCTATATATGTATATTTAGATCTATATTGTGTTGTTTCTTGAATTTTTCTACTAGTTAATTCTTATACACAACTATTCAATTTGATTTGGTTTTTAAAAAATAATTGGAGGCAACAATCCTACATTTAAAGAGAAATTCATGTTTACTCTGATTTGAGGGCTTGGAGAGTTGAATATTGTGATCTGGAATAGCAATATTATCTCTGTGGTGTTTTGCTACTTCTAGGGTCCAATCACAAAATGTCCTTTTTCAAGGCTACGATGACAACCTTCACCACTTCAGACTGACAGATATATGTTCTCGACTAAAGATCATTACTTCATGATTAACTCAGGTCTGGTGAATTTTGATTACTTCTGTTAAATTCATAAGATCCTAAATTGAATGAATGATGAGGTTGTGTTTATTTGTAAATCAATTGGGGGACTTTATCTTAATTTGGTTATTTTCCAGCTGTAAAAATGGATTGTTGCAGTTCTTTTCATGGTTCTTGTCTACGCCAGCGAGTCAATAAGGATCTACCTATTTAGAAATATACTTATGTCGTCTTTAACAATTTTGATGTAAAAGGACACAACAGGTTTCATTATTACATTATATATTGAGGATGGTTTGGTCAATTATCTCTGGAAGATTACAAAATTATCACTTACTGCAATTAGTTGGGGTGGAGGCTTTTTTTTATAGTTAATTTAAGTGTCATTTATTGTATTTCTAATTCATGTTTACAATGTCAATTAGTGAAGTATGAGCCATCTTCTAGCAGTGTTCTTGGACCCAATGTTATTTACAACTCCAAGAATCAAGGTGATTCAGGTTCCCGTGGACAGTTGCATATGTTGTCTACATCAATTCTTCTACCTGAGTGACCTGATCAACCTGAATGCCGATATTTCATTGGCACTGGGAGATGCAAATATGGGTTTGATTGCAAGTATAATCATCTTATGAAGGGAAGCTCAGTTGTTCATCTTTCAGCGGCAGTCAGCACCACTACCACAACCACCTGAATGACCAATATGATTGTCTTCTCTTTAGTCAATTGAATATTAAAGACATTTGAGCATTCTAGCTTAATATTTAGTTAATATCGCGTAATCTTTTTGGTTAATGGATTATTTGAGTTGGTATGTTTTGTTGAATATTTGGCTAATTATACTGTGTTGTAAACATTTTATTATGATAATTAATGGTTTATTTCCGTCTCTCTTATGCTGAATATTTGGATTTCTAATTTGTTATAAAAAAACTTGACAAAAAAAAAAAAAAAAAAACGCGAAAACACTAAATCTAGCATACCAATAATTATAATAATTATTATAATAATTAAATAAATAAATAAAGCATTAGGGACAGTTTCAAACTGTCACAAATATAATAAAAAAATTAAAAAAATAAAGCATTAGGGACAGTAAGTCCGTTCGTAAAGCTTGAGTTTTTTGGTGACAGTTAATTTTTTCCGTCCCTAAAAATCTTTTGCGACGCTCTAATTAGTGACGGACAGATTTGATCATTAGTGACGGTTTTGGGGCTTTTTGGGACGGTCTTAACTGTCACTAAAACCCTAATTTCTTGTAGTGGCATGCGACCAATGGCGGTGAATGGATCAAAGAACTCATCGTTACCAGTCTCATATAGATTGTAGAAATACTCGAAGTTCTCAGCAAAGCCGAAAGGAGAAGGATCTGCTGTTGCCAAGGAATGGCACAGAAGGGATTTTCCAGTTGGAGTGATTAGGGATGAAATTCTATTTTGGAAGTACACTTTAAGCCACATCTGGAATAACCAGAAGGGACCTTGGAACCTTGAAAACTTTGAAGTAAGAAGGTCATGAAGGCCTCTGTATAAGTGGGAAAGCACAAGTGGAGCTAATGCCAAATCTCCATTTTTGGCTAGGGAAACCGCTACTTGAACAAAGTCTTTTGTGACTTGGCCAGATGGAACACACAGAAAATGGCCAGAAAGCCAACAAATCAGGAAAGCAATGTGCTCATCTTCTTGAACTTGGCCGATTTTCTTACAGTGTTTAATAAAAGGGAGATGGGAGGAGATAAATTTCTTACTTCCAGTGGTCTTGGTAGGAAAAAGGAATTGTTCAATAAAGAGGGTGGCGCTTACATCATCTCCATGGGGTTTAAGACTTGTAATGCAACAAAGATCTCTCAAAGTGGGGGACATCATTCCACATTTGAGATGCAGGGAATTGGGGGTTGAAGACCAAAAGAAAAGAGCTGGAAAGAGGAGGTTTGGATCAAGTGTAATGGAGAACTTACTGATTTGGATAATGTCATAGATGCCTTGTTTCTTCCATTATGAAGAGATTTTTTCGTCCTTGGAAAGTCAATTCACCCATGAAGACCAGGATGAACGATATGTTGGCCAGTTTCTTATGCTGAATGAGGGCTTCACTTTTTTCCCTTTCTTTGAAATAAGAGGGAACTCTGAATCAAAGGGGAGAAGGGACTTACCGGAAGGATAAAATTCGGCTAATTCAGAGGGGGCTACGCTGGTAAAGGCTGGACCCAATCCAACTAAGGAATCTTTGAAGTGAATCAGAGGTTCAAGATGAAGTCTAATAGGGTTTAAAGACTTCAAGAGTACTTAAACTTGGTGACTTTGGCTTCAGGTCTTGATTTTAGTTTGAATAGAAGGAGCTGGTAGGGATGAGCTAGTAGTTGGCTTGGAAGGTTTTAGAAGATAGAAGGAAAGTTGTTGGCAAACGATAAGGATGGAGAAAATATATATAGGAGCAGCAAGAGAAGCATTAAGGTCTAAGATAAGCCTTTTGAGGGTGAGTAGTTGAAGGATTTCAAAATTTAAAAGGGGTAATAACTAGGATTGTGAAGTTTGAGATACGGATAGGATTTCCTTTGAGATACGGGATCATCGATGGAAGGGATTGTTTGTAGAGGAAGTCGAGGGAATAGCCACGTGTTATAGGGTTTGTTTCTTTTTAATAATTATCTTGAGTCTTCCAAGAGTCCAAGGCGTGTTAACAGGGAGTTGGGTATGAATTTTGAACTTTGAAAAAAGGAAAAGTTAAGAGATTTTTATGGGGAGTCATCTTTTGGGGGCGCATGATACTTAGGAGATTGACGGTTGGAAGTAATTAATATGATGGGAGCCAAGGAGTTTAATTGTGTTAAGTATTGAATAACCATGATGGTGATATGTTGATGGCGGAATTCAAATCCCACGCCTTATTTTCAGGAAGATCCACAAGGCATGGAATTTGGGGGGCATATGTTTGTTCCATAATTTTACCCAATGGAAAGAAGACAAGTGGCGAGTTTTGACAAGCTTACCATATTGGTTTAGTGTTCTAATAAATCAAGAATATGAGAATGTGACGTGGAATTGTTAAGGTGGTATATTAATAGAAAAGAGTGACATGGCAAGTCTCAATGGAACTTGCCATGTCAGAGTGTAATACTGATAAATATTCCTTTGGAATATTAATACTACGGGGAATTAAAAGGGAGTGGTGAGTCCCACTAGGACTTACCAAACTTGGGATGTAATATCATAAAAGAATAAGAAGATTGCATGAAGTTATTATCATAAGTGCAACCTTATGAGAAGGATAAAGTCAGAGATTCAGCCAACCAATAATTTATCAACACGTGGTAAGCTTTATTAAACTTGCCACGGTAGATTAATTCTATTTGAGTTTATTTGGAAGATCCTATTTTTTATAGGATACCAATTAAATGGATATTCTCCATTTTTTAGACCAAAGTTGACCAAGTCACAAAAAGGGAACGTGGAGGCAGTATTATCTCCTTATTTTTAGGAGACAATCAGCAACTGCCCAAGCTAAGTCAACCTCTGTTGCTAAAGATCAGCAGGACATGGGAATTCAATTTATTTCTATATATATATATAACCCATGATGGAGTAATTATCGTGAGTCCATGACGCCTTGAATTCTAATGAGGCAAGGTTGAAGAGAGATTGCTAGAATTAGGGAGGTGCACCACAACCATGACGCCATGAAGTAAATATGGAAGTTTTAGCCTAAAGCCCAGGAAATCGTGGTCTACAGAAGGAAAGGAAGTGGGTTGGATAAACTACCTACGATGGAGAAGTTGCTAAAATTAAGGAGGTCATGGCACCATGAACTCCAAAGCCTAGAAGTAAAGTATTAAGATGGAAGTTACCAAAGTTTGAGAGATATGGGCAATTATATTGTTGGAATATTATTCACGATGAGAAGGTTACTAAAAGTTAGAAGCCACGACGCCATGAAAGGAAGGTTTTAACAGAAGGGAAAGACTACTAGAAGTCGTGGGACACTTGGCCGAACAAGAATACGTTGGTTGAAAGTGGTGGAACTTCATAAGGGAACTACCACTAACCGAAGGAAGTTATTAAGGGTCATGGATGACAAGGCAATAGCTGGTGAAAGCGTGTCTGAAAGAAAGGGAAAAGGTTGACGACATGATGAAGAAGAGCAAAGATGTGGGACACTTGCTAATTGACAAAGAGGACCCGTAGGAATTCACTTTGAAACTACCCACGACACAAATTTGTTGGAGGCAAAAGAAAACGTGGTTGGAGTCTACAACAGAAGATGGATAAGATGGAAGAAGTTACAATTGTTGAGGAATCATGGGACACATGACAGTCCGAAGTCATTCCACATGGAAGCTGCTGAAGTTGCCACACCAAGTTGCTGCATGCATGGAAAGCTCTATAAATAGAACACTTAGAGCTAGTTTGCAAACCCTGTTCAACACACATAACCAACAGCACTTCAATTTCTTTACATTCATGTATATTTACATTCATGTAATGCACTTTCAATATGTTTAATTCAAGTCTTGCACTTACTATTCTTACTTTCCAGCACTTTACTTTGAAATCCTGCACTTTCAATACAGTTTTTCTTTCCACTAGCTATAGTTCAGTCCGAAAGTCCTTTTTCAAGGCAAAAAGAACCTTTGAAAGTGGTAATTTCAGTCCTTCATTCAATCGCCTGATCCCTACAATCTCTTACTGGATAGTTGTTCGGATATCCACTTTGGAACGACAGCAGTTCCTGGTACGCCCGATATTCACTCCTACTTTCCACTCAACTGGAAAGCGGAACTAGCGCTTTTTCGCGAGCCGAACACCATATATGATAACACTATTCTAAAAAACTCGAACGCTTTCGATGAGGTCAATCATCTCATCATATAAATACAAAAGGATTTTTTTTTTTTTTTTTCTTTTTTTCCTTAGTTGGTAAGCAGAGTTTTTTAAAGTGGAAAGATTAAAATATGTTCAAGGGAATTATGAGATATTCTAAAAACTTTCACCATTTTTTGTAGTGCCCTTCCAGTGAAATGGATTAAAAAATACAAATGATACGATGTTTTCATTGAGAGGTTAGTCGTTTTGTTCTTTTGAATAAGTCAGAAAGATCCTTTATTTAATTAATCTATCGGATAATATTTTCCTGAGACATATACCGACACATGTCCTTAATCTCACTTCCAGACTCTATTGATAAAGGAACCAACTATGAAGAATGGTACTTCAACAATAGAGCCACCGACTATATTAGATATTATCATTGGATACTCATGGATATGTATTAAATACTTTGTAACATGTTAAAAGAAAAATTAGTAATAATAATAATTTCTATAGCAAACATGTATCTAGTGCTTCGGAAATATTCTTGGAAACATCTTTAGCATAACATGCAGTCTTTTTAGTATAATTAGGGTTATTAAGCAAGAATACCGGAAGGGGCAAACCAGATATGACATTGTGGTTGTTGAAGGCGGCAAGAATCATTTTGCAAAACTTGGTTAAATTCTGCGAACCATTTCGTTTCGCATTATGGCATACAATTCAGGAATTAGATAAGTGTCAACATCAAAACATAACAATGAAGAGCTATAATACAAGGACAGGGCTGTGTTTGTTGAGACAATCAATCAAAATCAGCAGACTCATATTAGACTGAAAAACACCTGAATCCACGGCAAGAACCTCTCGTTCCATGGCTTCAGCTTTAACTAAAGGTGACATAAAGAACTCAGAAAATCTGTGAAACAAAGAGCAAGAATAAATCTCTCCGGAAACTTAGATCTGGTTTTACACTATATCCGTCAAAAAAATAAAAAGAAAAAAAATTAGTTTATACAAATAGAATTTTTTAACAATCTCAGACTCTCAAGCCAAATATCAAGTTATTTGTAATTCAAATCCA